GTGTTCAATACTTTTCCCTGTGCCATTCCACATTATTACAAATAACTTCATTTCTTGACATGTATTGTTTGATTTCTTTGTATTTATGGATCACTTGGGTTGTTACCGACATCTGTTGAAAATTTCATGTCTTTAGCACCTCTAGTAATACATTTACTGAGAAAAATGGTGACGTGTTCAATACTTATTTTACCCGCTTTATTTTGCTTACGCTACAGACAATCAAAACATATAGTTGCAGTTTCATCGAGAAATAAAAAGCAGTTCAACAACAGAAAGAAAAGCTTGATGATGGATCTTTTCATGTTGTGTAAACGCTCAGTCCTGAGATCACACAGAGGAAAAAAACTTTATTAGTCAGAAACACTCATGATGCACCTCTGCTCCTCAAAACATCACCTGCAGACCCAACATGTGCCAAAAACAGCACGGCACAGATAACTAAAGCCCTATTAATGTAATAATGGGGACAGTTTCATGAGTGTGTGTGTGTGTGTGAGTGTGTGTGTGTGTGAAAGAGAGAAAGAGAGCTCTCCTGGGCATAGCACTGCTGCTGCAGCTCTGCACTGAAGAGATAAGAGCACCGCCTTCACAGAAGCCTGTTTCTTGGGAATTTGACGGCTGTCTTCAAAGTCCACTGGTGACACAGAGTGTCGTCCGTCACCGAGCTCCAACTGGCCCAAACATCCTCCCAACTGTCCAACTGCACAGCGTAGAGTCAGCTCTGCATGCAGGGGAGGAAACCCAGCCCAGCAGACGTGGTGTGTGTGTTTGTGTGTGTGTGTGTGTGTGTTAGGCTGGTCTGAGCCTACTGTCTGTGTGTGTCCATGTTGCTGTACAACAGCCATCAGCAGGCCTGTAATTCCTGGCCTCCTGCGTTCATCTTGATAAGCTCTTATCAGGGCAGCGCAGGCCGTTCACACAGCGGCAGCCGCCACGTCCCTGCCCAGCTGTCCAACACCTCGCCACGCGCCCAACTCCATCTCGTTAGCGAGCAGCTCAGCGAGCCGAGGTTCGGCTGCCTCTGACTCAAACAGAAAGCCACCTAAAACAGTTTGAGCTCAAAGTGTGGTGGTGGTGGTGGTGGGGTGCTCTTACAGCACAGCAGTCTTATCTTTTCACCTCAGGGTCATGGGAAGCTCAGACCTACCCGGCACGCACCACCACCACCACCTCAAACGCACCACAGCAGCAAACTACTGACTCATGTCGACAAATWTGACCTTTATCGATGGGTCGACGAGAGCAAAATAAAATGTCGCTAACACGTTTTCGTTTAGCTCACTTTCTGAGTGTAAAAAAAATTTCCACTTTTAGCTCACTGTTCTTACATACCACTCATTTTTCCTAAATGTTAATATTAAATGTTAAAAAATGTTTGTAAATATTAAAACCTAAATCTGAATGTAAAAGTTAAATCTTCAATGTTGTGGCTATTTGTTGAAGTTTACATTTAAGTCTTTTGGAATGGAAAGACTTTGCCATTGGCGCTCAGCTCTTAGGAAGTCATCATCCTGAGACAAACGCAACCGCTAACTGAGCTAACGCTGCTAACGGAGCTAACGCTGCTAACACTGCTGAATATGGTTTTAAAAATCTAAACTCAAAATGTATTCATTGAAAACAACATGGACGGTACCTGTGATCTGGCAGTTTTTTAAGTGCAGCTCAGACACCGGCCGTAACAGCAATAGAATAGAAGAGAATAGAATTCAACTTTATTGTCATTGCACCGTCACAAGTACAAGCAATGAAATGTAGTTTGCATCTATCCAGAAGTGCTATACAGGATATACATATGTATTTACAGGTGTGCAAAGGTTGTTATAAAAATAAAATGTTCAGAATAAAGACAATATAATATAAATAAAGAAATATGGGCGCTATGTGCACATATACAGATTATGCAGATTATACAGAATGTTAGGAATGAATTGTAGATGTATTAGTAGTCTGATGTCTTGTAGGGAAGCATAGCAGCGTTAGCAGCATTAGCAGTGTTAGCAGCATTAACAGTGTTAGCAGCATTAGCAGTGTTAGCAGCATTAACAGTGTTAGCAGCATTAACAGTGTTAGCAGTGTTA